TCTTTCCGTATTAACGGGGTTTCCCTGCAGTCATGGGCAAGTGGTGTATGTGTATAGCGACTCTTGCTCTTCATCAGACACGCGTCGTCTGCGTTGAAGCCTGCCACGTTAGGTCCATGACATTTACAGCTATTAATAAACTGTATATGGCAACTACATATCACGTGATAGAAGAAACGACATGTAATTATGTTCGCGTGTGATTAGGAGTCTCTACGGCAAGGCTATATCAATTGTCACCAGCTGATAACTTATAATCTTATACTAATTATTGTAACAGTTCACATTGTTGTTTTTAGATTTTCCTCACACGCGATACTTATAAAGTCAACGGGAATCGGAGAAATGGTTTGAGGTAATGTATTTGTTCATTGCGTCGAGTCCCCGGGTTCGACTCCGCACAATCTGTGAAGCCATTTTAAGTGTTATTTTCCGGGCATGTGGGGTAGCCTAGTGGTTAAAGCCTTCGCTCATCACGCCGAATGCCCGGGTTCGATTCCCCACATGGGTACAATGTGTGAAGCCCATTTCTGGTGTCCCCCGCAGAGACATTGCTGAAATATTGCTAAAAGCGGCGTAAAACCACACTCACTTACTTTTAGTGTCATCCGCTTAGTCATGGAATCTTGATGTTATACATCTGATAGCGGCGTCAAACTTTGATCACTTATGTTTCATACATTATATAGATATACACAGGTGTGATCTGATCTTATAACTCGTATACGTTAAGCCTCAGTGGTTATGTAGAATACGTTCTCAGGCTGTAACATATTGAATAAGATAACTTTATTTCTGGGACTAAATGTCAGCCTGTGGCTGAAGAACAGCCAACCCGTGAAGATCCGGGGTAGAATAAGTCTTCAGGGGCCCGTTCCACAAAGCGATCGTAGCACTAAGACAATCGTAACTCCCATACTTTGACATAGACTTACGACAATCGTAGCGCTACAATCGCTTTGTTGAACGGGACCCAGAAGTCTACCCATTCTCGCCGGAAAAGGCGATTGATTATATGCTTGTCGTAAGAGGCGACAAACGGGATCGGGTGGTCAGGCTCGCTGACGTGGTTGATGCATGTCATCGTATCCCAATTGCCTCGATCGATGCTCATGGTGTCAATCACTAGGTTGTCTGGTCCAGACTCAATTATTTACAGACCGCAGTCATGTAGCTGGAATATTGTTGAGTGTATGTAAGAAACAAAGTAAACAAACTGTAGAACGGCCACGAGAAATGACACGGACCATCTGACCTATACTGCAGGCGGCCTGTGAAACGTCAACACATTAAAACAATGCAATAGTCAATCTGAGACGCATGCCCACGACACAGGTCACTAAAATGTCAGGGTCAAGGGTCATTCCGTGCGTGAAGTACAATCACCCGGTGGACGCGCGGTATTTAATGACGCTACAATTGGAACGGCGCTTGACAGTTCACTGCCGAAGGTCGCCCTGAAACCTCACACAAGTACAAACCCGTAGGTGGTGAACACACATCCTTATCTCTGTACCCATCACTGCCCACTTCCTAAACTGTTTAGTATTGAAATTGCAGTCATTTTAAGGGGTCAGTTCAAAAATAATATGTCAAATAAATGTCTTAAACTTAGGGTTGGAAGTGTGTAAAAGTTTTGCAAGGATTCCACTACACGAATAAGTAGCTGAAATACAAAACATATTAAAAATATATTGACCCATGTATCCTCAAAGGCCGCGTAGGATACAAGTAGGGTAAAAAAATTTTTTTTTTTTTTTTTTTTTGTACAGCTATGAATTCCTGTGATCAGACAGTATAAACTGGGACACCCGTTAAGATGCGTGTTAGAATAGGTCTTCAGCAACCCATGCTTGCCGTAAAAGGCGACAATGCTTGTCGTAAGAGGCGACTAACGGGACCGGGTGGTCAAGCTCGCTGGCTTGGTTGTTGAATGTCATCGTATCCTAATTGCGTGGATCGATGCTCATCTGGTCCAGACTCGACTTTTTACAGACCGCCGTCACACAGCTGGAATATTGCTGAGTGCGGCGTTAGACAACAAACAAACAAACAATATAAACTGGGGCTTTATAGTTCAAGCCACATTATTAACATGATTCCATCACATACACATGGGACGAGTAGGCAATCATTACATGCGAAGTATATGATTCGCGTGACAAAAGAATCGGAGGATATAAACATTATTACTCGTTTTAGTTATTTTCTCTCGTGAATTAGTTTGTTTATCCCACATTAAACTTTTGAAATATTCCCCCATGAGCGCCGCGCCACCATGAACATGTCAAAGCCCGGATGTATGCCAGTCACGTGACGCTGATGTCAACTCGAATGCCATAAATATTATGGCTGCAATTTGACGACTGGATTTTAACAGCACCTCATTGAGGCTGGGCCGTCGGTATGCGGGCGGTGTGTGGGTTGTTATTCGGCATGCATGGTTGGTGACTGTTTACGAATACATAATTGGACCAAAGCATCTGCTAACAAAGACACTTTGTTTTCTGCAGCTTTATCAATATCATGACTATTACTCAAATATCCACACCTGGCCTATATGAAGGCGGTCTGTAAATAATCGAGTCTGGACCAGACAATCCAGTGATTGATATCATGAAGCATCAATCCACGCAATTGGGATCGATGACATGCATCAACTAACCGATCCCGTTAGTCGCCTCTTACCACAAGCATAGTCACCTTTTACGACAAGCATGGATTGCTGAAGACCTATTCTACCCCGGATCTTCACGGGTCCGCTGTGATGGAGCTTGGATATAGCTGATTGTGGCGTAAGACAACAAATAGCGTTAGAATTAGCAGACGGAATAATCGAACTCTTAAAACAATTCTCTTAATTGTAAACTAGATAGTTTTGTTTGTTTCTTGTTTAACGCCGCTCTCGCTAATATTCCAGCTATATGAAGGCTGTCTGTAAATAATCGAGTCTGGACCAGACAATTCAGTGATTGACATCATGAGCATCGATCCACACCATTGGAGAATAGGAGACAAGCTATTGAAAAACGAATGTGTTTTGGGAGATAATCCAAAATATTTTATTTGCACATTAGCCTCACTAAATCACATGAAGCGTTATAAAATCCTCCCTCGTGCCTCTGCAATGACGTTCAGACCAGAGCGATGTACAGTTCATTGACGTACACATTGACAATGTGCGCCACTCTTATTTGTTTGCTTTTGTTTGTTTGCTTTGTCATTAACACCAAACTCACCAATATTGCGGCCAAATAATCGAGCCTGGAGCATAATGACATGCAATCAACAAGTCTCAAGTCTCACTACCCATCCAACATTAGGTCACCTTTAATGACAAGAAGAGATTGTTGGGTAGACTAACATATAGTCTCTGAAATGAACATATCGTACAGAAAAAACAGTTGCTCAGTTATCTTAATAAAAATATAATAAAAAGGGAGCCCAGTGATTCTCTTCATTTCCTGATACTGCAGTAATTTAGACTTGCCAAACATTATAGACTTGCATGGGCTGTAGTTGATATATTTGCATCAGGGTCTGTAAGACAGACTAATTGTTGGGAACCTAGTGTGTGTGTGTGTGTGTGTGTGTGTGTGTGTGTGTGTGTGTGTGTGTGTGTGTGTGTGAGTTGGGTTTAACGCCGCTTTTAACAGTATTCCAGTTATATCGCGGCGTGTCAGCTTAATGTCGGAGGAAAGCCCGAAGTGATGCAGGTCTCAGACGTTTACCACTTCGATGAAACTCACGAGCACGGGTATGGTGCTGACAAACCTAGAAACATAATCGGGGCGAACCGGGATTCGGACCCACTGTCATAGGTTTCTGGCGTGCCCAATGGACGCAAGTCTGCACAGTGAATCGCGGCGCCTTAGATGACTGGGCCACCCGTGCCCCCTACGCCCCCCTCCCTAAAACTGACCCCAGCCCCTGGTTAACGGTCACGCAACTGTCAACTGTCTGCCTTCCAACCCATGAGGGGGGACGGGTGGCCCAGTCGTCTAAGGCGCCGCAATTCGATGTGCAGAGTTGCGTCCCTTGGACATGCCCTGGCTACAAGGCACCAGGGGCCCATCCCATAAAGCTACGATGGTCCTAACTCCAATTCCTTTAGTCCTAGCGCCAAAGTCCTTCATGGATAACCAACGATCTTTTGTTGTTTAACATCGCACTATTCCCCCCCTTCTTCAGGACACAGGACATCCTCTTCTGATGGGAACATATGTGTTGACATAGGATTATTATTAGTCTAGATGACAATGTAGATGTTAAGTCCAAACATATTTAACAAATCTAATATTCCTGGCATTGAGACGCAGCCAATTGTGCATGGACCATTTGAAGCATTCGTAAAATCATTAACCCTTTTGCACTCAAGAGCACCTCCGGTCATTGTTGTTTCTAAATACAGGTACTTGGATCCACCAAACCAAACCAAACACGGTGGCTCCCTCCCACTTCATGTAAATTCATGGCTACATCTTTTATTATTTTTTAATAAAATGTGCAATAAAATTAAAAGATTTTGTTAGCTTTAACATAAATTGATTTCCGTGGTGATTCTCATTAACCTGTACATCACTTATAAAATGAGACAGCAAATGTTAATAAAGAGGGGTTTTTTCTGTTAAAAAATGTGTGAATTACAAACAGATTTAGTACTGGAAAGTGAGTGTGTGAGTTGGGTTTAACGCGGCTTTGAACAGTATTTGGCATCAAACCCGACTCACTCACAAACTTGTTTCCAGTACTGATTCTGTTCGTAAATCACATTTATATTTACAGACTGGAAAAACCCAATAGGGAAGTAGCCATTTGACTTTTCATCTAAAAGGATGATTTTCTCTCATTTCATTCTTTTCATCATGAAAACATGCTTTTAATGACGTCACTTTACTAAAACTTGAGCATTTGACAAAAAGAAATACAAAATAAATATCATAATACATATTCCTTTAAAAACAGTCACTTTACAAATCTTGTACATATTTCTTCATAACATTTCACCAAACTGGTATCAAACCATCAGCATGATCAGTCTGGTTTCCGTGAAAAACACAAAATCATTTATTTTTTTTAAAATCCCTGGTATGTTCTTTGAAGAAATACTTTTTGAGTTTTGCTCAGGAAATGACTTTTACATTTTACAGACTGATAAACTGATGAGCTGGTCTATAGGTACTAGGACTAGGCTGAACATCTTGTACCGATGTGGGGAATCAAACCTGGACCTATTGCCAGCAAATGTTTTAACCCCTGGGCTACCCTGCAGCCCAAGTTACTGATGGACAGGTGAACTTGCTACCACAATAAACATTCTCATTACGCAAAGAACAACATGAAGCACGAATCTGAATACTCTATTATTATTACTGCTAGTATTAGTAATACATCTATAATATTTATTACTATTAGCAGTAATACACCTATTATTATTACTATTATTAGTAATACACCTATTATTATAACTATTAGTAGTAGTTATACACCTATTATTATCATTATTACTTTATGGCTCCCAGCGCCTTTAGTTTAAACCCACAAATGTCATCAAAATTAAATGAAAACGTAATTGCAAAACATAATATAAAAGAATGGTTGGAAGTGGGATTAAAAAGAGAAATACAAAGAAAAAAGGGAATGTGTTCATCAGTGCTTCTTTACAAAATTAGGGCAGTTTGGTAGCCTGGTGGTTGAAACGTTACTTCAACAAGATAAGGGCCAAGGGTCAATTCCTAGGGTGGGTCTGTGTCTAACCCATGTCTGGAGTCCCCTGTGTTAGATTACACTGGAATGTTGCCTTAAGGCATGAAAACATCCTCACTCACTCAGACTCCCCCATCCCAAGACCCCCACCCCCACCCCACAAACATCTAGTTTGGAGGGTTTTATGGAACTGAAATGTGTTAATGTCTGTTCTTAAAGGTTCATTTTATCAACATCTACAAAATGTTTGTCACATATAAATAAATAACAAGATTTACAACTTGCATCATAGGTAATCCATAAAGTATTTACAATTCATGAGTATTACATCATAAAATCCTCAGTTTGAAACTGATTAAAATGTTACTTGCTAAGGAAACACATGACCAGTTGTGGATTCACCCAAATAAACATTAAAGTAAACAACTGCTGTGTTAACATTTGCAACAAATACTGGCACATACAGAAAATACACTCTATTCTGTATTAAATACAGAGCTGGGCTTCACAAAGGTCATGGGCTTCACAAAGGTGAAAGGTCACAAGGTTTGTGTCTAATTCTCACCTCTATCAAATTCAATGATTATGATGGAAAATAAACATGAAATCATTTTTTCCCTTCTCAAAAGGCCTTGTTTTATTACATGTTCTCGGTGGTCGAAAAAGAAGAAGAAAGAAAAAAGCACTTTCATGTTTGTTTTGTCTTTTGTGTAAACACATGGTTGGGAGATATTAAAAAAATAAAATTATAATTCAATGTCATGGCCAAGATCCTGAACAATTATGTAAACATGCTGCCATGGTGAGCTTTAATGTCTTCTGTTGGGACATGCATGAAGACAATTTGTGATATATTTTATTGCTAAATTGGGTTTTCAAACACAGCGGAAATAAAAAACCTCTCAATTGAGAATTTCATTGATTTTTTCTTCAGTGGACGGATCCTTAAACAAATAAATAATTATTTAAAAAACCCAAAGGGAACAGTCACTCAATACACACATTGTTACAGGCTGGATTAAATAAGGTATTACCGAACCATTATATTTTGGTCAACCCTTCCCAAATTCTTATCCATTTCATCCAGTTTCACCAAAATAAGGACCATGCAATTTGTTCTTGGCACTCCCAAATTTTATCTTAATTGGTAATCAGGGGGTCCCAATTTTCCCCCTACCTTCTCTATAATAAACTACCATTATTTCTTTCTTTTCACAAACGCACAATTTTAACATCTACCTCAGCAGAAAGTTATGAATCAGTGAAGACGGAGTTATTTCCCCTGACACCATCATGACCATGTATATTTTGTACAAAAGTAAAATCAAATCAAATAACTGTTTCTCAATCCTAAAAACATATGTGGCTTTACTAAAGTAGAGCGCTAGAGGCAAGTGCGTTTCTATGATTATTCTTGGAGTACAATATACATGTACTAATATACATCTAGAGATATGTAATGGCAACAACAACAACAACAGGAGTTGACACTGTCAGACTGTCAACCCCCAAAACAAACAAAAACAACATAACACAACACACAATAACTTATTGCAACAAAGCATTAAACATTACTTCAAATTGTCTTCACTATTATTCTTGAAGATATGGCGCACCAAAATCAATCTCTTGTGAGTAAGGATAGAGTTAAGTCCCTTGAAATGATGATCAGGATTGAGACTCACTGCCAGACTACAGAGCAAGATCTCGCAGATTTACTGCTGATTGGCGGCTGACTTGGACAGCGGAACAAGAAATTCTTGACTGGATCAACGAGGAAATGAGCAAAGGCAGCTAACACCCCATCATCCTCAGTCTGCTCCACATCTTCAAAGTGGTCATAAATTTCATCAGCTCGTCATCGACCAAGCAGTAGTTGTGCCGCCATTTTTGAAGAGAGCACTTCGAACTGTTGCATATCCCGGGGTGAGCGATTAATTTGCTTTCTCTTAGCGATTCCTGGCTTGCAACGCGCCCCAGTACTTTTTACACCTAAGACACTGCTTATTACTGTCTACAAACTGTAAAAGTTGGAAGAATGATGTTGGATAATAAATAGAATCTCACCCTTGTGTCTTTTGATATCAAATATATCAACACTCGTTGATAACGGTTTTAAACTACACAGCATGGAAACAATATCATGAAATGTAGAAAATAATGAAAATCAATGGTTTCACCGCAACACTTCTTAACATTTTCCAACCAGTATCAAGTCAGCACTGTTTACAGGGAAACCTTGCTAATCCCGAGCTGTCAGTCCAAGAATAACCCATTTCCAGATGAACAAGCATTTGTACAAATTGTTCTTTATTTACATTATCCATAGACATTCCAAACCATAACAGTCCAGGAGGTTGGGTCTGGGCTAGCGAGGTTCTGCTGAAGAAGTACCCGGTATGTCCTCAGGACTTATCTCCAACAGTATCTTGGAAGAATTCCTTGAAGAGGCCCCCTGACTCATACGGACCACCTGCAATAATTGTTTCTAAATCAATAGTGTTCAAGGGGATGTCCAACTGAATATCATTCTGTCCTGGATTTCCATTCTGTCCTTGAGCTTGTGAGGTTTCCACTGGAGTCTGTCCTGACATCGGCATTTGGAAACCCGGATTTCCATTTAAGGTTGCCAGAGCATTCTGTCCTTGTGAGGTTTCCACTAGAGTCTGTCCTGACATCAGCATTTGGAAACCCGGATTTCCATTTGAGGTTGCCAGAGCATTATGTACTTGAGCTTGTATTTGGAAATCTGAAATTCCTTGTGAGGTTTCCACTGGAGTCTGTCCTGACATCTGCATTTGGAAACCCGGATTTCCATTTGAGGTTGCCAGAGCATTCTGTCCTAGACTTTGTATTTGGAAACCTGAAATCCCCTGTGAGAATTCCCCATCCTCCTGTCCTGGCAGTTGGAAGGCAGAATGTCCTGGAGAGGATCCCACATCATTCTGTCCTGGCAGTTGGAAGGCAGAATGTCCTGGAGAGGATCCCACATCATCCTGTCTACGGGCATGCATTCCGAGTGAGGACTCCGATGGAGTGGGTCCTGACATCTGCATTTGGAAACCTGGATTTCCACCTGTGGTTTCTCCTACTGGGTCAGAGTGCATATCCTCTGTGGTACCATTCTCCGGAGGTCCTGTCTGATGATGCTCTTGATTCGTCATGTATTTCTTCATCATTGTCAGCTTATCATTTTCGTTGGAGTTTCTTGCCCATTTTTTGCTCTGTAATCCTTCGTCTGGGATTTCCCATGCATCAATCACTGATTGTGGCATATTATGATTCTCTGAGTCAGCCGAACTGACTGACGAGTTTTCATCGCGTATCAACACCATTTGTCTTAACCTTCCCTCACTTGTGTCTTTAGATAATTGAACACGCACACACTGTTCAACATCCGGTGCCCCACAGATGAGGTCTCTCTCCATCAGCTGAGTATTTGGGCATGGAAGGAGATATTCCACCGCCTCACCCTGGCTACCCGGTGCTTGCTGAAGCTCCATGGGGGACGATTGTGTCGCCGCTGGAGCGAGGGATGCACCAGCAGGGCAGGGTACCGGAGAGACACCACCTGGAGAGTAATAATTAAAATGAGGCATCTTTTTCATAATAATACTGAAAATGTGGCCATAAGTGACAATCAGCTGCTGGTGATGTTAAATTAAAGGTAATTTTTTGAAAAGATGCTGTTGCATGTCAACTTTACCACAGTGGCCTGTAAATTACCAAGTCGGGTCCGGCAGATCAGAGGCTGATACCACCAGGAACAACTTATCGTTCAAATGATCAATGAAAAGAAGACGAAGACATTTCTGGTAATCATTCAAGACCAATTACTCGTCATACAGGCAAGTGCACGGCAAGGAATGGCACAATGTCAACACACGAGACAGAGCGTGGTTACATTAAAAAGTATGAATCGGGTGCTACGAATCAGGTGCATATAATTGTTGAATCAACAACGAAATGGCAGACAAATGAAATTACATCCCAGGACATGTACACAGCATAGGCAATAGGCGAATAGCCTTACTATTCTTATTATTATTAAGACAATCAAAGTGAAATTTCAACTTCTGTGAGCTAATTTTATCATCACTGGAATCTACAAATTTCGGATTCTTACTGATACGACTTTCATAGACTTTGCTATTTCAGTAACAATGAACAAGAGGATCAACAATGTCAGAACTGCCATCAAGTTAGCTCCAATAAACTTGTACCGTAGTTGTTGAAGATTAACCAAAGACATGTGATCCAAGTGAGTTAAACATTTAGCATAACTATGGCTGTAGTGGAACAGTAATTCAGCTAGCAGTGGTCACATACCGCACATGATCTTTTTGAATAACTCTTTCTTGACACATCGCCCATCCGTTACCTTTTGTACTGAAACACACAGTAGTCATTGATCACACATGTAAATATCGTGCCATGGCACTGTAGCTCACCTGTGTTTGTAGTCATGACATGTAGATATAGTGCCATGGCACTGTAGCTCACCTGTGTTTGTAGTCATCACATGTAGATATAGTGCCACGGCACTGTAGCTCACCTGTGTTTGTAGTCATGACATGTAGATATAGTGCCACGGCACTGTAGCTCACCTGTGTTTGTAGTCATCACATGTAGATATAGTGCCACGTCACTGTAGCTCACCTGTGTTTGTAGTCATGACATGTAGATATAGTGCCACGGCACTGTAGCTCACCTGTGTTTGTAGTCATCACATGTAGATATAGTGCCACGGCACTGTAGCTCACCTGTTTTTGTAGTCATCACATGTAGATATAGTGCCACGTCACTGTAGCTCACCTGTGTTTGTAGTCATGACATGTAGATATAGTGCCACGGCACTGTAGCTACCTGTGTTTTCAACACATGTTGTTGGTTGGTTGGTTTGTTGTTTAACGCCGCAGTCAGCAATATTCCAGCTATATGACAGCAGTCTGTAAATAATCAAGTCTGGATCAGACAATCCAGTGATTGTTATAATGAGCATCCATCCATGCAATTGGAATCAATGACATCCATCAACCAAGTCAGCCAGCCTGACCACCCGATCCCGTTAGCGCCGTTAGACCCGTGAAGATCCAGGGTAGAATAGGTCTTCAGCAACCCATGCTTGCCGTAAAAGGCGACTATGCTTGTTGTAAAAGGCGACTAACGGGATCGGGTGGTCAGGCTCGCTGACTTGGTTGATGCACGATCATTGATCCCAATTGCGTGGATCGATGCTCATGACATCAATCACTGGATTGTCTGGTCCAGACTCAATTATTTACAGACCGCCGTCATATAGCTGGAATATTGCTGAGTACGGCGTTTAACAACAAACCAACCAACCAACCGTTAGTCGCCTTTTACGGCAAGCATGGGTTGCTGAAGACCTCTTTTACCCCGGATCTTCACATTTATGACAGACGATGCATGACAGATGCCAGCCAAACAGGCCAAAACTTAAGTTCACTTGACTTTCAGAGATGCAACTGTCTCTCATTAGGGTGGTACAGCGGAAATCATATACATGATACATATATACCTGACCCCCACACACAAGGTTCTCAGGCCTTGGAGTGAGTGAGTGAGTGAGTATGGTTTTACACCGCTTTTAGCAATATTCCAGCAATATCACGGCAGGGGACACCAGAAATGGCCTGCACACATTGTCCCCATGTCGGGAATCAAACCCCGGTCTTTGGCATGATGAGGTGAGGTGAGGTGAAATTTGGTTTAACGTCGCGTCCAAGATTATTGCACTTATATAGCGACGTGCATGCACGTGTATGTGTGTGTGTGGCTGCTTGTACTAGTCCGGACTGATGCCGATTTATAGTGCTAGCTCACTGAGATACCATGCCGCAGTTTAACATGAATACCCCACTCAGACACAGTATACTGACTCCGAGCCGACCAGTCCTTGTTTTAGTCCCTTAATGCCGAGCGCCAGACAGGGTAACAACAAGTACAATCTTTTAACGTCTTTTTGTATGACGCGGCCCGGGATCGAACCCTGGACCTTCCGCTCTCCGGGCGGACGCTCTACCACAAGACCACGGAGGCGGTCGGCATGATGAGTGAATGCCTTAACCACTAGGCTAACCACAAATCAGTTCTTACCTTTATCTCCATATTTCTCTAACACACTACGTTTCCGCTTTCCTCTGTTCAAGGCCACGATATCTGTTGAAAGGTACATTATATCAGTGATAGTCATAAATGTTGGATATATTGTTTCAAATTACACATATTCCACTGCTGTGGATGGGATATCATATCTCTCTGTCTCAAAAACAGTGTTACTAAATTTGATGGCTATTTTTAGTTTCTTTAGAACCAGACACAATACGAAGCTACGGGGATGATCAGGTTGTTTCTACATTTGTTGTTTAACGCAACACTCAGCATTATTCCGGTTATATGACAGTGGCCTGTTCATATTCGACTCAATCCACTGACTGATATCATGAACACTGAACCTAACCATCCATTCAATCTAGTCCCTTCTTACGACCAGCATCGGTTGCAAGTGATCAGTTATAACCGGAATCCCCACATGGTATATATATATGTAAGAAATAAACGACCAGTGAGAGTTGTTTATCATACAATAAAACACTACAGGGAGTGTGAGTGAGTGAGTGAGGTTTTACACCGCTTTTAGCAATATTCCAGCAATATCACGGCGGGGGACACCAGAAATGGGCTTCACACATTGTACCCATGTTGGGAATCGAACCTGGGTCTTCGGCGTGACGAGTGAACGCTTTAACCACTAGGCTACCCGACCGCCCCACTACAGGGAGAATAAACCATGATGGGCTAATTATCGTAAAATAAAACACTGCCCTCATGGTTTATTCTCCCTGCAGTGTTTTACTGTACAATAAACAACAACCATGAATCGTTTATTTCTTATATGACATGTCAACATTATGTACAGCCGATAATGATAAAACGTAAAATCTTTAAAAAAATATACCCATATCTAAATAATGATGATTCCCTCAATAGAATCCATTTTATGCACAGGTAGGTTAATCCCGCATATTCTCACAATTTTCACGTTGATTACCTGTACACAATACCAATTGTCATATCCCTCCCGCTTTTGGATGCGATTGTTCTGTCATCGCATTCATCTGCATTGGCCAACTACATACAACAAGTAGGTAGAAACTCCCCTCTCAAAAATAACGTTGTCCAATATACAACATCATCAAGTTGCAAGCGAATGTTTCAATATCCAGAAATGACATCATGATAGAACATTTTATCGTGAAATAAACCACGCTTCGTTCCACATTGTTCTTTGCGATTTGTCGCATAGCTATCTTATACATATAGATACATAGTGTGCTGGATTATCAGTGAGTAAGTATGGTTTTACGCCGCTTTTAGCAATATTCCAGCAATATCACGGCGGGGGCGCCAGAAATTGGCTTCACACAATGTGCCCATGTTGGGAATCGAACCCGGGTCTTTGGTGTGACGAGCGAAAGCTTTAACCACTAGGCTACCCAACCGCCCCTGCTGGATCGTCAAGGATGCGCCCTACTGATGCAGGAGCGCCATGAAGCCACTCACCTGACAGAGGCTTGTACAGAATCGGCTTCCTGTCCTCCACGCCCGTCTGCTTACAGCAGATGACCACATTCACACAGACAGGCTCCAGTATCTGCCTGTCTTTGTACTTGGGTACTTGGTAGGCAATGACATGCTGAAAGGAAAGGAAGAACTCGCGTACCACAGGTACAGATGCTCACTTTCTTGAGCATGTAAGTTTTTACTTTTTAAAACATTTTTTGCTGTTTTTTGTTTGTTGTTTAACGCCGCACTCAGCAATATTCCAGCAATATGACAGCAGTCTGTAAAATAATCGAGTCTGGACGAGACAATCCAGTGATTTACATCATGAGCATCGATCCACGCAATTGGGATCGATGACATGTATCAACCAAGTCAGCGAGCCTGACCACCCAATCCCATTAGTCACCTTTTACGACAAGCATAGTCGCCTTTTACGGCAAGTACGGGTTGCTGAAGACCTATTCTACCCTGGATCTTAACGGGTCAAAACATTTTTTGAATGACCTTGTATTTTATTGTATGTGCCGACAAAGAATATTGACTACAAAATTTTCTTCCCATGGTCATATTTCCCTGATGTCTGTGAATCCAGTCAAATTCAAGGACACTACTGAGAATTATTTCTGTTCCTATTGGTAGATGCTAGATTGCTAATGGACACGAGACACACTGGATGGCCAGTGGATGAGCTTGTGGTTGATTATTTGTCTACCCATTCTTGTAACAAGGAACGTCAATGTTGAAAAAGTTTGCACCACACACCCACCGACTCACTCACTCACTCACGAGCTCCAAACAGTGATAGGGGTTGAGAAAATGTACATGCCATATGCCATACAGCACTGACATTTTCCATATATGAGTTGTCTCCCCTTACAAGAAATCTCAGGCACCATCCAATTATAAAGCCTGTTCAGCCGAGTTCAAAACTTGACTCCACCCTCAGGCTATATAAAGTCTATTTTACTATGTGCAATGCTAACTTATAAACCTCTACATGACCTTCGATCTCATTGAAAAACCTCTGAGCAGTGACTTTGTCAAAGATATCTCTCTGTCCCGGGGATATTCTATAGAATGTACCTCTGGCCCCAGGATATTCTTAAGTAGTCCCTCTGTCCCGGGGATATTCTATAGAATGTACCTCTGGCCCCAGGATATTCTGAAGTAGTCCCTCTGTCCTGGGGATATTTTATAGAATGTACCTCTGGCCCCAGGATATTCTGAAGTAGTCCCTCTGTCCTGGGGATATTTTATAGAATGTACCTCTGGCCCCAGGATATTCTTATGTAGTCTCTCTGTCCTGGGGATATTCTATAGAATGTACCTCTGGCCCCAGGATATTCTTAAGTAGTCCCTCTGTCCCGGGGATATTTTATAGAATGTACCTCTGGCCCCAGGATATTCTTAAGTAGTCCCTCTGTCCCAGGGATATTCTATAGAATGTACCTCTGGCCCCAGGATATTCTTAAGTAGTCCCTCTGTCCCAGGGATATTCTATAGAATGTACCTCTGGCCCCAGGATATTCTTAAGTAGTCCCTCTGTCCCGGGGATATTCTATAGAATGTACCTCTGGCCCCAGGATATTCTTAAGTAGTCCCTCTGTCCCAGGGATATTTTATAGAATGTACCTCTGGCCCAAGGATATTCTGAAGTTGTCCCTCTCTGTACCAGGGATATTTTAAAGAATGTCACTGTCTAGAGACATATTTAGTAGACAAACCGACTGTGTTTGAAAATGAGATTAATGTTAGGCCAAATTGATAATGTCTTAATTTCAATTAAAACCGACCGCCAGTCTAACATTAATCTTACTTTCCATGACCGATTTAAAATCAAACCCTTTCGTGTCATGTAAGACTATGTATAATCCGGGAAAGCATGAGAGGTGAATTGAACTTGTCAGTGAAAAAATACAAGGTTATCTGACCTACTTATTTTCTTGGACGTAGTGGTTAACAGTTGATAAGCTGATCATCACTGTAGTCTGGACCTTTTATATGGTATTATGGAGTTACATTTTGGCTGGACTAACGAGTCTATGCATAGTCCAATCAAAATCGTGCACCGAAAACGAAATCCGGTTCGTAGAGTGTTTTCTTAATCTTTTCATGTTTTGAATCAAGGTGCTCACGTGATTTGATGCACTTCGCGATGTAAGACTCGTTTTATCACAATATAGATCTTGACTATCGATCAGATCGTCTTGACTGAGCGCCACCGTTTTGTTTGAAACAAATGCAAGTGATACGAGAGGTTGAATCTGATTGGTCAGTAGGAGAGGCATAGAAAGGACATAACTCGTAATAGCCACTGGTGGCGCTACGATCGAGCCCAGGAATTCCAGCCTAGTTCGGCAAGGGTGGAAACTGGACTTTCAAAGTCAGTTAACTCTCTTGCTTCGGGAAGATGATGTTCTTCATGGGCCACAAACGTTTGTTGTGATGCTCCCATTCTGGTGAAATATGGATTTGGAGTTTGGTTACTTAATACATGTATACCCAACTTTCGGTTCTTTGCCATCAGATACCATATGTTCAGTGAAGAAAGGAATAATGCTGTTCGGTATTTTTCAATATTCCAAATCATCAAAAGGTACCAAAAGATCACCACTAGACTGATCTGTACAGCAAGTTTCATCAAGAAATATTCAACTAGTTGCTCAGAAAATACTACCTTATAACGGATGTCTTCCTTGACTGGCGTAAATATTTCTGATCTCCACGTGATGCTGTTGTCAGCAGCAACCTCCTCAATCTTCACCTGAAGCTTCTCTGAAACATTGATTGGTCAGAATTGAACACCCAGAAACACTACATCCCCCTGAAACACAGCTTTAAACCACTACACACAGCCCACCACGCCCTACACACAGCCCTCATCCCAACACACCCACCCCTACACACACCCACCTCCTCCCAACACACCAACCCCTACACACAGCCCTCATCCCAACACACCCACCCCTACACACAGCCACCTCCTCCCAACACACCCACCCCTACACACAGCCCCCTCCTCCCAACACATCCACCCCTACACACAGCCCCCTCCTCCCAACACACCCACCCCTACACACAGCCCCCTCCTCCCAACACATCCACCCCTACACACAGCCCCCTCCTCCCAACACACCCACCCCTACACACAGCCCCCTCCTCCCAAAAAACCCACCCCTACACACAGCCCCCTCCTCCCAACACATCCACCCCTACACACAGCCCCCTTCTCCAACACACCCACCCCTACACACAACCCCCTCCTCCCAACACACCCACCCCTACACACAGCCCCCCCCTCCCAACACACCCACCCCTACACACAGCCCCCTCCTGCAACACACCCACCCCTACACATAGCCCCCTCCTCCCAACACACCCACCCCTACACACAGCCCCCTCCTCCCAACACACCCATCCCTACACACAGCCCCCTCCTCCAACACACCCACCCCTACACACAACCCCCTCCTCCCAACACACCCACCCCTACACACAACCCCCTACTCCCAACACACCCACCCCTACACACAGCCCCCTCCTCCCAACACACCCACCCCTACACACAGCCCCCTCCTCCCAACACACCCACCCCTACACACAGCCCCCTCCTCCCAACACACCCACCCCTACACACAGCCCCCTCCTTCCAACACACCCACCCCCACACACAGCCCCCTCCTACCAACACACCCACCCCTACACACAGCCCCCACCCCTACACACAGCCCCCTCCTTCCAACACACCCACCCCTACACACAGCCCCCTCCTTCCAACACACCCACCCCTACACACAGCCCCCTCATTCCAACACACCCACCCCTACACACAGCCCCCACCCCTACACACCCACCCCTACACACAACCCCCTCCTTCCAACACACCCACCCATACACACAGCCCACCACCCCTACACACCCACCCCTACACACAGCCCCCTCCTTCCAACACACCCACCCCTACACACAGCCCCCTCATTCCAACACACCCACCCCTACACACAGCCCCCACCCCTACACACCCACTCCTACACACAGCCCCCTCCTTCCAACACACCCACCCCTACACACAGCCCCCTCCTTCCAACACACCCACCCCTACACACAGCCCCCTCCCCTACACACAACCCCCTCCTTCCAACACACCCACCCCTACACACAGCCCCCTCCTTCCAACCCACCCACCCATACACACAGCCCACCACCCCTACACACAGCCCCCTCCTTCCAACACACCCACCCCTACACACAGCCCCCACCCCTACAGCCAGCCCCCTCCTCCCAACACACCCACCCCTACACACAACCCCCTCCCCCCAACACACCCACCCCTACACACAGCCCCCTCCTCCCAACACATCAACCCCTACACACAGCCCCCTCCTCCCAACACACCCACCCCTACACACAGCCCCCTCCCCCCAACACACCCACCCCTACACACAGCCCCCTCCCCCCAACACACCCACCCCTACACACAGCCCCCTCCTCCCAACACATCCACCCCTACACACAGCCCCCTCCTCCCAACACACCCACCCCTAACACAACCCCCTCCTCCCAACACACCCACCTCTACACACACCCCCCTCCTCCCAACACACCCACCCCTACACACAGCCCCCTCCTCCCAACACACCCACCCCTACACACAGCCCCCTCCTCCCAACACACCCACCCCTAACACAACCCCCTCCTCCCAACACACCCACCTCTACACACACCCCCCTCCTCCCAACACACCCACCCCTACACACAGCCCCATCCTCCCAACACACCCACCCCTACACACAGCCCCCTCCTCCCAACACATCCACCCCTACACACAACCCCTTCCTCCTAACACACTCACCCCTATACACAACCCCCTCCTCCCAACACACCCACCCCTACACACAACCCCCTCCTCCCAACACACCCACCCCTACAGCCAACCCCCTCCTCCCAACACACCCACCCCTACAGCCAACCCCCTCCTCCCAACACATCCACCCCTACACACAACCCCCTCCTCCCAACACACTCACCCTATACACAACCCCCTCCTCCCAACACATCCACCCCTACACACAACCCCCTCCTCCCAACACACCCACCCCTACACACAACCCCCTCCTCCCAACACACCCACCCCTACACACAACCCCCTCCTCCCAACACACCCACCCCTACACACAACCCCCTCCTCCCAACACACCCACCCCTACACACAACCCCCTCCTCCCAACACATCCACCCCTACACACAACCCCCTCCTCCCAACACACTCACCCCTATACACAACCCCCTCCTCCCAACACATCCACCCCTACACACAACCCCCTCCTCCCAACACATCCACCCCTACACACAACCCCCTCCTCCCAACACACCCACCCCTACACACAACCCCCTCCTCCCAACACATCCACCCCTACACACAACCCCCTCCTCCCAACACATCCACCCCTACACACAACCCCCTCCTCCTAACACATCCACCCCTACACACAACCCCCTCCTCCCAACACACCCACCCCTACACACAACCCCCTCCTCCCAACACATCCACCCCTACACACAACCCCCTCCTCCCAACACATCCACCCCTACACACAACCCCCTCCTCCCAACACATCCACCCCTACACACAACCCCCTCCTCCCAACACACCCACCCCTACAGCCAACCCCCTCCTCCCAACACACCCAACCCTACTCACAGCCCCCTCCTCCCAACACACCCACCTGGCTCAATGCCTGGACCGTCCTCTGTCAGCAGGATGAGAACTCGTCCTCCGTCCACTGTCACAGAAGGGGGAGAGAGTTCATCAATCCTCAAGCTGCTACACTTATCTGTTGGAAGAAATTAAAATCATTCAAAGACTCCTTTCAAACAGCGGCAGACATGACTACCAGATTGGGCCTGGATTATTGTACTTTTTTATAAACTGGATATATCATGACATATTGAAGAAAAATAGAACTGATTTGTCAGCAAAAACCAACGCATCTCAACGCTGCACTAAACCCAACTCACTCACTCACAACACCAATATATCAGCAAAAACATCTTCAATTAAACCTTCTGTGTTAGCTTTTAGATAAAAAATGAAAAACATCTTGAACTAAAAGAATGCTATCATCCTTCAGTAATAAATTTACCTGTTCACTGTACTGACATCACTTAAAAATACCGGTACGTTCAATATTTTAATTTGATTGGGTTGAATTTTTATTTTTATTTAAATGTAAATATGTTGGTAATAAGTGGCAGGTGAGATGCAATGATGCAGACTCATCACACACTGTGCCCCCAATTGTGCCCCCAATTGTGCCCCCAATTGTCCCCTGAGGCAAGAGCGCCCACTAGCCTTTTCATCAAAGTCTTGTTTCCACCCTTGCCACATCAAACCCTTTCCTGTGCTAAATATGATTGGACTATATCGCACATGTTGAAAAGCCAATCAGAGAACCAGTCAACATCCAAGACTGGTACATATTTGCATGAAAGTGATTTACCACTTTGTTGACACGAATATTTCATTCATCTGTCTGGGATGAAATCAGAATGTTTCTGTTACCATCGATGTGAAGCCATACATGACAAGAACAGCGATCTGATTGGCTATCGCATTTTCAGTACAAGGGACACAACTCATGATCGACAAGACTAGCGGTAGAGTGACGGTCTAGGCAAGAAAAGTGGCCTTGATGTTGCAAGGATAGAAACTAGGCATTGATATAAAATTGTGGTCACGCTTGCCCGGGGAAGACGTCTGATGAGAAGCACGGGGTATTTGGGACCTCTTCTGCCCCACAGCTGACATATCACATTTACTATTAGAAAGTTACCTTCATTCTTTATAAGCTTGGAGACATCCCAGATACCTGGGTGGTTGTTCCATGACACATGAACACACAGGTAGACCTGGTTGGTTTCCACCTTGGCACCTTGCCTCAGAGACTCCATCAACGCCTGGCAACCACCTGACACAGACAGACAGACAATTTCAGAGACTCCGTCAACACCTGGCAACCACCACCTGACACAGACAGACAGACAGACAAACTTGGAGACTCCATCAACGCCTGGCAACCACCTGACACAGACAAACAGACAATTTCAGAGACTCCATCAACGCCTGGCAACCACCTGACACAGACAAACAGACAATTTCAGAGACTCCATCAACGCCTGGCAACCACCTGACACAGACAGACAGACAATTTCAGAGACTCCATCAACGCCTGGCAACCACCTGACACAGACAGACAGACAATTTCAGAGACTCCATCAACGCCTGGCAACCACCTGACACAGACAGACAGACAATTTCAGAGACTCCGTCAACACCTGGCAACCACCACCTGACACAGACAGACAGACAGACAAACTTGGAGACTCCATCAACACCTGGCAACCACCTGACACAGACACACAGACAATTTCAGAGACTCCGTCAACACCTGGCAACCACCTGACACAGACACACAGACAATTTCAGAGACTCCGTCAACACCTGGCAACCACCTGACACAGACAAACAGACAATTTCAGAGACTCCGTCAACACCTGGCAACCACCTGACACAGACAGACAGACAAACTCAGAGACTCCATCAATGCCTAGCAACCACATGACACAGACAGACAAACTCAGAGACTCCATCAACACCTGGCAACCACCTGACACAGACACACAGACAATTTTAGAGACTCCATTAATACCTGGCAACCACCTGACACAGACAGACAAACTTGGAGACTCCATTAATACCTGGCAACCACCTGACACAGACAGACAGACAAACTCAGAGACTCCATCAACACCTGGCAACCACCTGACACAGACAGACAGACAAACTCAGAGACTCCATTAATACCTGGCAACCACCTGACACAGACAGACAGACAAACTCAGAGACTCCATCAACACCTGGCAACCACCTGACACAGACACACAGACAATTTTAGAGACTCCATTAATACCTGGCAACCACCTGACACAGACAGACAGACAAACTCAGAGACTCCATCAACACCTGGCAACCACATGACACAGACAGACAGACAAACTCAGAGACTCCATCAATGCCTAGCAACCACATGACACAGACAGACAAACTCAGAGACTCCATCAATGCCTGGCAACCAGTGGCTCCATTTATGAGAAAGGAATAGTTTAGAAACACCTTTATATACTTGTGGAAGCTCAGTTTGGCGGTTCTCAAGAGCAGTCACCATGTTTCCTTTCTTAGTTCTGTTGATCTGCAGCCAGGGAATCCTGGAAAAAAAGAGTGAGTGAGTGAGTGAGTGAGTAAGTGAGTGAGTGAGTGAGTGAGTGAGTGAGTGAGTGAGTGAGACCTGCTTCAGTACTTCAGTCATATCTGGGTGTGTCATGTGGGAAGCCCAAACTAGTACGAATTCAATACACACAATTAGCAGGGGAGTGAGAAAGTGATTGAGTGAGTGAGTGAGTGATTGCTAGAGTGAGCAGTATTCCAGCTGTACCCTGACCACCCCATGCAGTTGTGTACAACAAGCATGAGAGTGCAAGAGGCCTATCCTCAAGTCCACACAGGGCACATCTGCAGTGTCCAAAAGGTTGCGGCAACAGTGAGTGAGTGAGTGAGTCACTAGTGAGTGAGTGAGTGAGTGAGTGAGAGTATTGTTTTACGCCGCTTTTAGCAATATTCCAACAATATCACGGGGAGGAAACCAGAAATGGGCTTCACACATTGTACCCTTGTTGGGAATCAAACTTGGGTCTTCGGCGTGAAGAGCGAACACTTTAACCACTAGGCTACCCGAGCGCCCATTATGCAAAATAGGGGCAGATAGCTGCTGTGCTGTGGGCCATAGATATTATTGTTGTGAACAAATGCAGCAAATGTTAACAGCTCGGTGCGTTTGTTGTTTGTTGTTTGTACAGCTGTAGGACAGCAGCCGGTAAATAACCAATCCAGTGATTGATATCATGAGCAGAGATCCATGCTATCAACCAAGTGTTGAGCATGATCCCCCAATCCGTCATGCACCTCTGATGACCAGCATAGGTTGGTGGGGAGGCCAACTCTAACCCAGATTCCCCACCGGGGCTTGACTGCCAAGGGACACAACCGTGATCCTGTGACACTAAAGATAGTCTTTGGCCCATGTTCAGTGAAGATTTCTCAAGGAGTGTGAGTGAGTGAGTGAGTATGGTTTTACGCCGCTTTTAGCAATTTTCCAGCAATATCATGGCGGGGAACACCAGAAATGGGCCTCACACATTGTACCCATGACGGGAATCGAACCCAGGTCTTCGGCGACATGAGCGAACGCTTTAACCACTAGGCTACCCGACCGCCCCCATTTCTCAAGGACCATGAAACAGAGACCACATGCTGAGGGACAGGCCTCAGCAGTAGATTATCATTAACAATCACTGCTGCATCCATGAGTGTAATTGGTACATTGGGACAGACTGATGCTTTTCTCCTGTCAGCGGTCAAGATGCACGACACATGCACAGATGCTCTTATCTAAGGACTTCCGCAGTCTGGTAAACAATCTTACACAATGGTTGAATGCTGAGAGTTAATTCCCTTCGGTTCAACGCAAGCGCACATGTTGACATTACACTGATATTTCGAATACTAGGCTAAGTGCACTCAAAACTACATCGTATCATACCGAAAGATACAGCGTAATGAGCAAAAACTAGCGATGTAATAATTTTAGTGATACTTTCTGACGAATGTCCTTTACAAAACACCCAAATAAATAATGAAAACAATTATGCCACTACAAAAAAAAGGAATAAATATTCCAATTGATTCCAGTAACTAAGGACATTGTTTCATATTTAATGGAGTAATTTGTACTGGAAAATGGATAAATTGTCAATTGCTCACAAGCCGCCATTATATTTTGTATGATAGAACAATAGGATGTGGTTCGATGCTTCTGTTCGTTAATTCTCATGAATGTCAACACATACATTTAGTCACTTATATGTCATAAATGTCCTTTAACAAATCAGGAAAACTGACATTACTCAACACATATAAATATGTGAGTAAGTGAGTTTGGTTTTTACGCCGCTTTTAGCAATATTCCAGCAATATCACGGCGGGGGACACCAGAAATGGGCTTCACACATTGTACCCATGTCGGGAATCGAACCCGGGTCTTCGGCGTGACGAGCAAACGCTTTAACCACTAGGCTACCCGACCGCCCCTATAAATATGTAAAGGGTTGGACAACTGAATAGTCAATTCGCAAAAACCTCGCATGTTAATCTTCGAATCTCGCACAGTCTTGCGTGAAAGTGCTGCTTGGTCCCGTGCGACAGAGATCAGTCTCCAACTAGCCCCAGGGCCTGTCCCTCAGTGAAATCAATGAAATCGTGGTCTGGTGACTTAGTGTTATTTTGGGGGCACTTTTGCTTATTTTTGCCAACTGGAAATGGAAATTCTAAACACAATCAGGAAACTACAATCCTGGAATATTGTTTTCTTTTTTGTCCAGAAAGAAGGCAGCCAGTATTTTTTTCTATCTACTGATCCTTCAAACAACTGAAAAATTGTGTTCAGTGTCAAAGCTGCACTGGTCAGTGGAGGTAGTGTGGGCGACATCGTCATGACAACCAATTGAACCTTACTTGATCTTTTCTTCTCCATAATGTCTTCTGAAGGCTGGAGGGCTGTAGACCCCTTGTGTGCAGTTCTGTCCGTCCACAGAGTTAGGGTGGGGACACAGCTCGTCAGCCATCTTGATGCAGAACACCTTCATCACGGCCCCCCGAGGAATGTTCCGTACCTTAAATCACGGCAACGACAGCCCAGTCATGTACTGGCTTCACAACCAAACTCGCATCCAGTCACCAGAGTAAGACCCAGACATCTTCCCGAGGCAAGAGAGTTAACTGACTATAAAAGTCCAGTTTGCCCCCTTGCCGAACTAGGCTGGTATTATGGAGTTACATTTTGGCTGGACTAACGAGTCTATGCATAGTCCAATCAAAATCGCGCACCGAAATCGAAATCCGGTTCATTAACTGTCATTCAGATTTCGGTCGATTGCAGGATTTGCAAAGCATGTGCACCACCAATTCGTTGTCAGCAAATATTTTCCAAATATTTTCATGTTTTTAATCAAGGTGCTCACGTGATTTGATGCATTTCGCGATGTAAGACACGTTTTATCACAATATAGATCTTGATTATCGATCAGATCGTCCTGACCGGGCGCCACCATTTTGTGTGAAGCAAACGCAAGTGATACGAGAGGTGGAATCTGATTGTTCCATAGGAGAGGCTTAGAAGGGACATAGCTAGTAACAGCCACTGGTGGCGCTAGCAACCAGCCCAGTAGTTCCAGCCTAGTTCGGCAAGGGTGGAAACTGGACTTTTAAAGTCAGTTAACTCTCTTGCCTCGGGAAGATGGACCCTGATAGCACAGATGGATAAAATTGAGGTGATCTGAGTTTGTTTGATGTTTATCACTGCACTCAGATAAATCTCAGCTACATGAAGGGCAGTATGTAATCAAATCTGGACCAGACATTCCTTTATCCAAGTCAGCAAGTCTGGCTACCAAATCCATGAAGCAAATCACCACAAAGAAAACACAATTATCATGAGAACAGAGTAATGTTCCTCATTATATATATGCCTCCAAGCTCATAACAGCAATAGCCCACTCTAAAGAACTGTCTATGCTATCACTGTCTATGCTATCACTGCCACCATTCAAAGCTCCCCACAATGCAAGGCAGTCTACCGACATGTAATTAGTACAATGAGAACATAAGTGGGTGCTTTCTGTTAGTCTGCAATCTCAAACCAATCGAACTGGACAAATAAACATAAATTAATTTGGGAAAGTCCTATCACCCCACCCACCATGACCTCAATGAAGTCCTATCCTCCCACCCACCATGACCCCCAAGACGTCCTATCCTTCCTCCCACCATGACCTCTAAGAAGTCCTACCCTTCAATCCACCATGACCTCCATGTTGTCCTCTCCTCCCACCCACCATGACCTCCATGAAGCCCTTTCCTCCCACCATGACCTCCATCATACCTGTCCTCCCACCCAACATGACCTCCATGAAGCCCTTTCCTCCCACCATGACCTCCATGAAGCCCTATCCTCCCATCCACCATGACCTCCATGAAGCCCTATCCTCCCACCATGACCTCCATGAAGCCATATCCTCCCACCTACCATGACCTCCATGAAGCCCTATCCTCCCACCATGACCTCCATGAAGCCATATCCTCCCACCATGACCTCCATGAAGCCATATCCTCCCACCATGACCTCCATGAAGCCCTATCCTCCCACCATGACCTCCATGAAGCCCTATCCTCCCACCATGACCTCCATGACCTCCATGAAGCCATATCCTCCCGCCATGACCTCCATCAAGCCCTATCCACCCACCATGACCTCCATGAAGCCATATCCTCCCACCATGACGCCCTATTCTCCCATCCACCATGACCCCCCATGAAGGCCTATCCCCCCACCATGACCTCCATGAAGCCCTTTCCTCCCATCCACCATGACCTCCATGAAGCCCTATCCTCCCATCCACCATGACCTCCATAAAGTCCTATCCTCCCACCATGACCTCCATGAAGTCCTTTCCTCCCACCCACCATGATCCCCATGAAGCCCTATCCCCCCACCTACCATGACCACCATGAAGTCCTCATCGCGCGTCTTCCTGCCTCCCCGGTTCTCTGTCCCATACCGGAACCTCTGGAAGTAGATCTGACTTGTTATCTTCACCTGTGGAGCCTGCTCCATCACGTCAGTGTGTCGCAGTGGGTTGTAGTTGCTGGAAACACAGCGTAATGTTGGTAGATTTATAGTCTAGTTTTACGATATTACAATGTGTATGTTATTATAAGCGTTATGTGAGGACGAGTTATGTCTCTTTTTAACGGAAGTAAACAGGAGAGCCTGTTACGAGATGAAGAAGGGGAGGTGGCGACACGTGGGCTTTGCGATATAGATTACGTTACACATTGAACTTGTCAAGTGAAAGTGTATGTTTGCGACGATGTGTGATGTACTCCTAAATCCTAACAATGTTTTCATATGGGGCCAACGATGACGGGTCTCAGTAATAAATCCATCAAAATCCATGAAGTGTGTTGCGTCTCATGGTTACATCAGGAAGAGC